GGTACCATCTTGAAGAGAGAAGGGAAGAAGTACCTGGGAATTGAAAATCTTGAGGCTAGCTTCCTCCATGCCCGGAATGGGGACGAAGTGATCGTCACCATCTTTCACAGCACAAACCGTAGCATTGGCCATTAGCAGGGGAACGATTTGTGTAGATGAAGCGAAAGCCAAGGTAGGAGAAAGAACTGAGGCAGTAGCAGAGGTTGAGACAGCGGAAGAAGCCATGGCAGCAAGAACCAGAAGAGAAAACCAGAAGAAGCGCAAGAATGAGGATGGAGCGAAGAAGGAAGAAAGAAACGAGAACTCAAGGGTGCACAGTGAAAAAGCGGTAAAAGAAATTTTACCCTAAAAAGACTCTTAAACAAGTGTAAACGGGCCAAGGTGAAGGCCCAAACAAGTCAGATCAACCATCAACATTTCAAATCACAATTCAAATCAACGGACAAGGGCATAGGAAAATGTGAGCAGGCGCCGTCAAAATTTATTAGGAGCAGTAAAATTTTAAACATAACGCATGTCTGATTAGGGTTCTATCGAAATAGGTGACTCGAAAGTTAACCAGTGTTGATCGAAAAAAATGAAAGTCATAGGAATTCAGTCTTTCATCGCCTTGACGCGTGCTTCAAAGACTAAATTCCTAGGGGGGCATTTGTTAGGGTCACTCGAAAAATATACTTTTTGAAATCACTTGAAAAGGAGGAGGATTGAAGAGGTATCTACCAAAAAAGAATATCAGAAACCATGAGCCTGCCTATTCAAGGATTGATCGAAAAATACAAGAGGGAGTTACTAAAGGTTTTTGAGTAGTTAAGTAGTTACACTAAGGTAGTTACTAAAGTTAGTCGAAGAAATAAAGAACGTGGGGTGAACGGTTATGAGAGGTTACATTTAATCCACGTAATTGGCGTAGTGGACAGCGGTTACGCACCCACGATGTACTTGTACAAAATTAACCGCTCTCGACTAACTTTATAAATATGAGAAGCATACCCCTTCATAGAGGTCAGAAAAAATCATACTTACACTCTCAAGCACTCACCGCCTGCGCATATGGCTTTCGTGCATGAAATTGTTGGGTATGGCAAATTCTTGACCACATTTTCTTTCTTTTTCTAGGATTAGTGTAGTTTCTTCGTTTAATTTTGTAGTTTGTAGGTTGTTTAATGATATTGTAACCTGATCATTATGCGAAGTGGACAATGATTTGTATTGCCAATGTATGTATTATTGATTCTGTTCACATAAGTATCTACATGCATGCGAATTACTGTTTGATCATCATTCATGAAAATTTGGAAACAAATGTTTATTAATCAGTTCTGTCTCGTCTATTTCCGTTCTTAAGTAAGTTTAACAAATTTAACTGTAAAATACCTAAATTGAAACGATTTCATTCTAGTTCAAATAAAAAGAACTCATAAACAAATTCCACCACAAACAGTCAACCTTTAATGTCCTTCGTGATCTTTGGAAGTATGGTGTCAACATTGTTCTTTGGTTGCTATTCGAGTTATGATCTAAGCTTCTCATGACCTTGCTTGGTCATGGGCTCAACTTGGGGAATCGAAGATGGATGACACACAAGAATTACTCTTGTATATAGGTATAGATTTTTGTATATATATAGCAAGTGTTGGACTTGGACAAGTGTTTATATATTAATGGTTAATGGAGGAGATGAAATTCAAGATTTCTAATTACGGAAAGGATATATGGACAAGTGTTTATATATTAATGGTTAATGGAGAAGATGGAATTCAAGATTTCTAATTATGAAAAGGATATATATATATATAT